CGATGTTCTCTTTCTCGTGAAATATAGTGGGTGAGATACCAACTTAAATAGATCTTAAGTGAAGAGGAAAGCTCTTTGGCATGGAAGATAGAGCAATAGCACCCTTCCCATGGCTGGAACCAAGCACAGACTCCAAGATGTTGAAAGATGGGAAATACTGCCTATCTATCTATCTATCTATCTATCTATCTATCTATCTATCTATCTATCTATCTATCTATCTATCTATCTATCTATCTATCTATCTATCTATCTATGTTGGCTGTCTTGTCACTGTATAACCAGCATTGAATGTTTGCTGTATGTATGTTCTGTGATCTGCTCTGAGTCCCCTTCAAGGTGAGAAGGGCAGAATATAAATACTGCAAATAAATAAATCGTCCCAGAACCACACTGGACATTGTTATAGAATTTTCTTTCTAAATCTTAAGGTGCTATGACTTAAACTGGCCTGGAAAACACATTTTGCAATCTGGGAATTGCTTCGCATGTTCACAGGAGCTGAATTACTTTGAGAAAACTGATTCTAGCAGTGAGTTTCACCTTAATTTATTGAAGGAGGAGCAAGGAACATAGGTTTACAGCTACCCATATTGTTGCTAGCTGTATTATGCACAATGCTCCTTCTGTTCCTTGCTGGCACCAAGTTTCCTCTAGAGTTACCAGCTCTCCCTTTATAATTAATAGATGTTATTTGGTCAAATCGAGGTCTCTTTGGTCTAAGAGCAGTGCCCTGAGTAGCAGAGAGTGTTTCCCTGGCTCTTCGCATTTGTGTGTCTGCAATCCCAAAGAATGCCTCTGGAAAGTAAAAATAAAAATATTCAGAAATTACTCACTGTTGGAAAGCTTTTACAATACATTCTATCAATATTGCATGACACCTGTACAAATAGCCAAAATGCAACCACAATTGAAAAATACCTATTGGAAATGTAAACAAGCAACAGGATAATTTTAATACAGTATGTGGTGGTCATGTAAGAAGCAAAAGAAAAAAAGAAAAGAAAAAAGGACTGAAATCCATAAAACTATAAAAGTATTAAAACTAAAAAAAATCCCCAGAGGCATTCTTACTAGGCATAATAAATAGATTACTTTTGAAGACATATGACAGGCTTTTCATTCTGATGACAACTGCAACAAGAATTGTGTATGCACAATTGTGTATGTGGAAACTAGAAAAAAGATGGAAGAAGCAATAAATAGTTAAGAAAATGAATGTTGATTGTGAAGATGTGAGTGCATCATCAAGAGCAAAGCTGGAAAACGGATAGGCCCAAGTTTCTGGGTTAAAAAGTGGGAAAATGTTCTCTTTGCAGATGAGGACTCGGATCCGACTAGCAGGGATTCTTGTTGAGAAAACACTGCAATTTCAAAAAGCAGAGGCAAGGTTTCATTTGGGGATAATAGCACCACAATATTGAGGTAAATAGATTGATAAATTTCTTAAGGAAAAAATTATTTAACTCTACAGTTCATTTCCCCACAAATCTTTACAATTTGTTAAACACAGAAGCTTCACAGATTTAAATACTGTCCTCAAATGACACTTGAAGAAGAAAAGAGAGATTGCCTTTCGAACATGCCAAGTCTTCTTGATGATTTTCTCCGCAACCTCTTTCTGAAGTGCCAGACTTTTTTTCAGCTGTCCATTTTCCTTCTCTGTTTTCTGCCAAATTCACTAATTATTCATTTAAGGTTGCCACCCCCAAACTGGAAATGCTACACGTTACCAGGGCAATAGCCAGAAAAAAAATGGGGGGGGGGGGGGATTAAAAAAATAGTGAATCATGAAGAGTAGTTCCATAACACAAAATAATTTAAATAGTATGGTTCGTTCTATATTTTATATAGACTTAATAAAATCAATGTTCTGGTCTCCTTCATGGGGGTTTTTGCTTCTCATAGACTTAGTATGGGGGTTTGACTAACCACTAAACCAGGTATTTTTAACCTGAAAGTTTTTTTTGGGGGGGGGGGCGTTGAACACCTAAGCCCCACCCCCTCCAGCTACAGCCCTGCATGTCACTCTTAAATTCTGTGACTCCTGCTTTATGTACATCTGTTTGCTACTTTATGCTGCCCAAACTTAATCGTGCTCAAAGTATTGGGGTGGTCCACAAAAAGCTTTTGTCTAGTTCAGTGATGAGACCAGTGCCAACCAAAAGCAAACTTGCAACTCCTAATTTTGGGGGAGGAGGGCATCAGAAATAGAAGCACGGAATGGTTGGCTTACAAAAGTCATGCTTCTTTTAACCATTCTTAGATCTACAATATGATTGTTAGGCTTAATTTTCGCAACTGGAACAGGATCTAGTTACACCAGAAGAGGCAACTCTAGCCATGAAAGCCACAGATTAGTAATTTGTATACGGAAGTTTAGCACATAAATTGCAACATATTGCAAAATAAATATGCATGTGGTAAGTATACAGTTATTATGAAACAAATATTAAACATAATATTGGAGGCCTTGGATGTAGGGCACAACCAAGGAACTTGTAATTCTCCAGTTCTTTTTTGGACTTCAGTTTCCATCAGCCCTGTCCAGCCCAGCTACTGACAAAGGATCATGGAGGCAACACCTCATTGCTGTCCAGAGGATCAAAGGTCCCCTCATATAGACCTTATTGTCAAGGAACATTCCCATTTATTTGACTGTCTGAGCACCACTTCTTAAACTGGGTCCTGATCCCTAATAGGGTCTCCTTAGCTCAATGTTGGGGTCCCGAAAAATTTGGCAGCAGTAAAAGTTTTCAAATCATTACCAAGGGTGTTATTACTATTTACAGCTTTTATATTCCGCCCTTCTTACCCCGCAGGGGACTCAGGACGGATTACAGTGTACACATATATGGCAAACATTCAATGCCAATTTTTGACATACAAACATATACAGACATACACAGAGGCTATTTAACTTTTTCTGGCCGCCAGGGGAGCTGTCACTTTCATCATCCATCTGCGACGCTGATGAAGTACTTCCACATTCCCCGCATGCTTCCCCGCTGGAATGCTCTGCTGGAGTCTTCTTTATGGCTTCATAAATTAGTTAATTTAGCCTCCCCACACTTTAAGGTGGTACCTAAGTTTCCTACTTGACAGATGCAACTGTCTTTCAGGTTGCAAAGGTCGACAACAGGCTACACACAATTGGTTGGAAACCCACTCCAACCCGGGCTGGCTTCGAACTCATGACCTTTTGGTCAGAGTGATCTTAATGCAGCTGACACTCAGCTAGCTGTGCCACAATCCCGGTGTTATTCTGCCCACCCCCAAACACACACACACATGATTTCTAAACACTTGTAAAATTTGAATACTGGTGGGGTTGGGGGGCGTGATTTTGTGATTTGGGAGTTGTAGTTGCTGGGATTTATACTGAATGCCACCAATGATAGAATTGAACCAAACTTGGCACACAGAACTCCTATGACCAACAGAAAATACTGTTGGAAGGGTTTGGTGGGAATTGATCTTGAGTTTTGGAGTTGTAGTTCGCCTACATCCAGAGAGCATTGTGGACTCAAACAATGATGAATCTGGACCAAACTTGGCACAAATACTAAATATGCCCAAATGTGAACACTGGTGGAGTTTTGGGGGAAACAGACCTTGACATTTTGTACTTGTAGTTGCTGGGATTTATAGTTCACCTACAATCACAGCAGGAGGAGGGCTTTTGGTGGGAGGATTCATCTTTCCAAAAAGGAAGACAAGGACAGGTGGAGACATCTTCAGCTTTCTATGCCAAAGGGGTTCCTAAGACCATCCGAAATATGTGTTTTCAGATGGTCTTTGGCAACACTTCTGAAACACCCCTCATGATCCCCCAAGGGGTCCCGACTCCCAGGTTGAAAAATGCTGCTATAGGCAGTGCCAAACGAAGCAGTGACGCCCAGGTAGTCTCCCAAAATCCAGCTGCTTGAACCTTACCTTGCACTCTTTAAAAAATGTATTCATTAGAAACTGCACAACTTCAGGAGATGCCTACTTCAGCACCTCTAAAACCCCAAAACTTGCAAGATTTCGATCTTTTGCAATTTTGAAGATCTCAAGATGATGTTGATGATTTTTATTATTATTTAAAAACGAGTGGGTGGGAATTGCACTTGCTCGTGTAATAAATCTAAAAACTGATAATCTTGGAATACAGGGCCAGAAACAACAATGCGGGATGGGGAATGAGAAATGATATGCTTTTTTTTCTAGTGCTATAGGACATAACACAACAGTAATGTGTTGTTCCCTAGTGCTGAAGTCCCTAGTGGCTGTTTTAAACATTTACAAAAATCTATTTTGCAGTATTTACAGTGTACTCTGCAAAATATGTTTCAGCTGTACTTCATAGAACGGAAAACCAGCCTGTTTAGCAAGCCTTGCAAATGCTGATTTATTATCAATAAATGTTTGATTTTACACCTATTTTACATACCTATATACCCAATTTCTGGGGCCAAAGGGGTTCAGAGATCTAGAGATCTTCAGTAGGAATGTCAGAAGAATAATTGCAATTAGGAAGCTCATGTATGTAGGTCATGGCATGTAGAGCACAACTGTATGGCAATTTCATGACTTGCTTTCGTCATAGCTATTACAGCTTAGTCATACTTTAAGTACATGGCTATCTTTGAAATAATGTCTTAGTCCATTCAAGCGTATGTCATAATATATTTGTTAAGGTGACTAGGACTCTTTGTCTATTACTAAAGATAAATCCAAGGGTGTTTACAAAATAAAACATCAAATTCTTCACCAGCTTCTCCACATCTGTTTGATGTGTCTCTTTTTTGGAAGAGATAACCTTGTTGTTCACTGATGTATATCCATTCAGTGTTTGCACATCTAAAATAGCACATTGCTCAAGCCAAACAGGCTTATTCCCAAATGCTGATTAGAAGGGTTGAAGATGAGCTTTCTCGGGGTTTGCTAATTCTCTGCCTCTGGGAAATGTCAAGGCACTGTCAGAGCAGAGCTGATGGGAGGAGGCATGTTGGATGAGGCTCCTCCTGGATCGCCGGTAGTCAGTGTGGGTTGGAGGAGATGCTCAGCATTTTCTTTGGCATCGGGATAGTTAGCTCAAGAGCAGGACTGACTACTTACTTTATGGTTAGCCATAAGGGATAGGCTGATTTGTCTGATCAGCTTTTTGTCTCGTCCAACTCTCCACTGCAAGGCTGATGACCTTTGCCAGGTGGCTGTCTGAAAAGTGAGCTTTTGGCTGTGTGCCTTTAAATAAGGAGGCAAAGCATTAGGCAGGGCTGAGCTGCTGTGAGCTTATTTTATTTCTCCTTAGTGCGAGCCCAGAGGCTGCGTCAATAGCAGCTTGGAATGCCAAAAGCATGAAGTGATAGGGCAAAGTCAGGGTGTCCAAGACAAGAGCTGCCATGCTGCCTCAAGACAAGGGGGTAGCTTAAGACAGTACATACACCCTGGAAACTGGGACCCTTCATCTACTGGTAAGAGAATTATATTGCAAAACAGTGTTGCAGTTGGAAGAAACAGACTTTTGCTGTACTGATCACTGGGAAGAAAGTGACCGAGAGAGAAAAGAGGAACAAATGCTTGAAGACAAATCGGAAAGGAGAGTGCTTCAGTTTCTAAAATGAGAATGGCTGGGTTCAAGTATGCACGGAAACTGCATCCATTATTCTTGAACTCTTCCTGTCTTTCTGGATTTGCAGGGTTTATTATGGTAACATGATTGTAAATGAAAGAAATTGTGCATATGGTCAGGGGTATGACCACATCTTATGATTCATGACTGGGGCAGAAATAAAGCAGCTTCTAATGTATACAAGCTAAGCTTCAATGAGGGAAGGGGCTTATAGATATGAGCAAAAATTCATGAGCATGTGTTTAGATGTAGCTGTAAAAGTGAGCATCAAACTCACAGAATTGCCATAAAGAGATGGAAGTGTATATATGTTTGTTTTACAGGTGCTTGCATGTCATGTTGAGGTGGAAAATGTCATACATCTATATACAAGTGTACTAGCTTAAAATAATTTTGAATGGATTTCTGACAAAACTAAATGGACAAAATGAAGTGTATGTTATTAAGTGTCAGATTGGGATGGTTTGTGTACTGAAACAAAGCCCCTAGCATTTGGGAACTAGGAGTACCTCATATAGGGTGAGATGCTGAAGCTCACCGCAAGGAAACTGAGGCCATTACTTAAGGACCACAAGGAATAAGGGAGCAATTCCTCTGAAGGAATACTTTGTTTATCGCTTCTTCTCTCTTTTTGCTTATATGTACATTTTTGATTCAGTGTGCATGCATGCATGTCATTGAAGAATTGATCTGGAAGAGACCATAAAGACTATTCAACCTTAGTAAATTTGGAATGACTCTTGGTCCTAACTACAATATTACTGTCACATAAAAAGCAGTAATTTGTAGAATTACATTCCTGTGACCTCTGCAGGAGCTTTTAAAATGTGCAATTTTGTTTTGAGTGGCTCCTCTCAGTAGGTCCTCCTGCTGGCTTTTACCATTTGTGTGTTAAGAGCACAAAAGATTTGGGAGTGAGGCAAAGGAACAATAGGCAAGCAAGCCTGGAGAATGAGAAGTGTGAGAAATGGGGAAAGAACATAAAGATTTCCCTTGAGAAAAATCAAGTCAGAGTTAACAAGAGAACAAACTAAAGCCAAAGAGTTCTCAATTGAGGCGAGGGGAATGTGAATGAAAACTTTTTCAGCAGGAAAAGAAAAGTGGGTTTCCAAAGGGAAAGCCAAATATCTAGCTCAGCAGTATGGACAAACCCCGGGCCTCCAGGTGTTTTGGACTTCAACTCCCACAATTCCTAACAGCCTACTGGCTGTTAGGAATTGTGGGAGTTGAAGTCCAAAACACCTGGAGGGCCAGAGTCTGCCCATGCCTGATCTAGCTGATATACTATTTGGCTGTAACTTGCAACATTAATTTTGTTCATAATTTTGTAAATCAGTGCTGGTCTTGTAGATTTCAACCTAACCTCATCAATGTTTACACATAAGTAAACTTTTAAATTTTTAACCTATGCCAAAGTAATAGCCAGCAGTGCACTAAGTTCTACAAAACAGGTCACTGTTGGTCATTATTTTACAGTCCGGGAACTGATCTTGCGTATAGATGTGTCAATGATTCAGCGTATTGTTGTTGTCAGTAACTGAAACCTGGTCTCTCAGAGCCACAGTCTAGCCCTGAGAGAAGAGTCAAAGTTCTGCCTCATCAAGCAGAAGAATTGAGTTTTAAGGAACACTGGAAAGCCCTGAGCACTTTGTGATACCAGATCTGTCTGCCTTTAGACTAGGGATACTGGGAGACAAGAGGGTGTATCAATGTTTTGTCGAAGGCTTTCATGGCCAGAATCACTGGATTGTTGTGAGTTTTCTGGGCTGTATGGCCTGTTCCAGAAGCATTCTCTCCTGATGTTTCGCTGCATCTATGGCAGGCATCCTCAAAGGTTGAAGGGTCTGTTGGAAACTAGGAAAATGGGGTTTAGGGGAAAGTCCAGGTGGGGGAAAGAACTCTTGTCTGTTTGAGGCAAGTGTGAATGTTTCAATTGGCCACCTTGATTAGCATTTAATGGCCTAGCAATTTCAAGATCTGGCATGAAATCATGGGAGTTGTAGTTTTGTAAGGGATTTATCCTTCTGTGTGAAAGAGTGCTAGTGCCCTTCCAAACTATAATTCTCATGATTCCAGGACATTGGATTCCATGGACGTTAAGGAGGTGTCAAACTGCATTAATTCTACAGTATAGATACATCCTCTGTCTCCCAGTAGTTCTGTAAGGTATTTTTCCTTCTCTGTCAAACAGTGTTAGTGCCCTTCCAAACTACAAATCTCATGATTCCATGACACTGAACCATGGTAGTGAAAGTGATGTCAAACTGCATTAATTCTACAGTGTAGATGTATTCGCAGTTTGGCCAACATAGGAGAAGCTATTGTCTACCTACAAAAAAATAGGAGGCAACTTATGCTTAGGTAGTAATACATTAAAATGTTTGTAGATGTCTCGCCCTATTTCACAATCTCCTGCTGCACCTTCCCAGTAGAACCAGGTGACAACACGTTTCTATCCCTTGCTTTCTTGTCCATGCAAAAGAGAGGCGTCAGACTGCTCTCTCCTGAAGGATGAGATAAGAGATTGCATTGCTCTGCTCGACCACAAAGGAATTAAATATAAACTCTGTGGTTCATACCAGGATAAATTCCTTGCAGTTGGTAGGAAAGCCTGACGCATAGCACATTTGCAGAGAAGCCAGATTTTGAGTCCTAACATTGAATCCTGAATTGGCATCTGAATCAATCTGTAATAAATTACTTCTTCACATCTTTGGAGAAGAAGACATTTTGTTTCTTACTGTCCCATAGAAAGAATTATGCTATTGCAAGAGGTAGGCTATGGCTGCCCCACAGCTGGGAACAGAACAAGAGATCCTCATCTTTGCCTCAGCAGAGACTGAGATTTGTGCTTTTCTGGCCTTCTAAGTTATTCATTTACTCTACCCCAGCTGTGCAATGATGCAATTTTCTTATCACTGTGTTTTGTGGATGAGAATGAAGTCTCAATGAGAAATCCTTGTCCATCTCTGTGCCAATCTCTCTGATTCTGTATCTTTCTGCATGTTAGGTCACAATGATTTTATCTCTAGAATATATTTGAGAGATCAACCTCTGTGAAATTAATGAACTTTCAATTACAACCATCTGTCGGGGATGCTTTGAATGCAATTTTTCTGCTTCTTGGCAGGGGGTTGGACTGTATGGCCCACGAGAGCTCTTCCAAATGTAGGATTCAACGAGGGTTGAATAAAAAGTAATGCCTCCACCTTCGTAACTCCTCAACAGATGGCAGTACTGGTATGCGGCAGGTTCTGGCTTGTTCAGTAGACTCTCCTCTACAGTTCCATTTTGACAGGAAGCCTTAGCATTGAACGGTTGTGTTGTTAAAGTGTGAAGTATGGAACCCTGCGCAGACAATCAATCAATGCGACTAAAGTAACGTGCGGTCATTGAATTCTTGACAGCAGAAGGTATCACCCCAAAGGAAATTCATCAGAGGATACAAGCTGTTTATGGTGATTTTGTTGATGTGAGTAGTGTGTGTCATTGGGCAAGTAAGTTTAAGGATGTTGAGGTGGGAACATCTGACTTGCATGACAAACAAAGAGTTGGATATCCTGTGACAGCAACCACCGAGTTTCACAAGTAAAACGTTGACAAATTGATTCAGGACGATCATCGTATCACTCAGAGAGAAATTTCAAGCATAATCAACATTTCACAAGAAAGTGTGGGTCACATTATTGCTTTTCTTGGCCATCAGAAGATCTGTGCATGATGGTACCCAGGATGCTGACGCCTGAAATGAAAGTGCACAGACTTGAAACTTCAGAGACTGGATCTCACCACCGTATGACATTCTCCATACAGTCCAGATTTAGCACCGCCTGACTTCCATCTGTTCCCAATAATGAAAGAAGATCTATGGGGACATCATTATGCTTCTGATGAAGACATTGAGAGAACTATGAGATGCTGGTTGTGGAAACACAGTGTCGACTTCTTCCATGATGGCTTCAGAAAACTTGTTCATCATTGGCAAAAATGTATCCAATTATCTGGTGATTATGTGGAAAAGTGAATAGTGGTAGTTAAAGAGCACATTCTAAGGATTATTTCTGCATTTGATTTATTAAAATAATCCCATCCAAACCTAAGTAACGAAGGTGGAGGCATTACTTTTCATTCAAGGAAACCCTTTACTGCAAAGATGGATCCTCTGGCTTCAGTAAAGTTGTTGGACCGCAATTCTTACCATCCTTCAAGGTTGGCTTATTAGCGGTGCCTGATGGAAGCTACACCCCAACTGCAGTAGATCATTGTAGCCAAGTCCTGCTTCACAAGTTATTCCTTCCCCCCCCCCCCCCCCCCCCCCCCGCCAAATGAATCCACAACTCTAGCTCAACCCATGAGAAGAAAAGAGCTATTACAGTATTTTATATCCATCTCTTAGGCTAGAAGGAAGGGGAAAAAACAACCTCCTGCAGCAACCACCATCTTGTCAGGGTTATTTCATGTTTTTTGGGCTTCCGAGCTCATCCTTGAAATTATAAAAAATATATAATGGTGTCAACACTGCGGTTTTGTATCATTTGATAAATTCCACTGTCTAAGATTGCACTGAGTGAAAAAAAAAACCCTTCAGTCAGTGAGAATCACAGGTTTCCCATCCATGGTGGATTCTGTAGTATCCAGCTTCTCTTGAATGGAATGTTAGAGCAAAATTGTGAACTGAACTTAATCTTTTCAGAGTTCAGAGTCTTACAGTGAGTGTATTTATTACATTGCAGCTGTTGTTTACCCATACTGTTCAGCAGCATTTTTTTTCTTGAAAGGTGATAATGGGAAAAGCAAGTAGAAGAGGGTATATGGAAATTTCCTTCATTTTATGTCTCTATG